GATTCAAATCAAGGTCCTGTGATAGGGTTGTAATGGTATGAGATTTTCACAGTACGATAACCATCTCAGAAAATATTGTGGTTTCACAGTATCACAGCATTACAGAAATTATATCATCAATGACCCTTAAAGGACTGAAAATGGAAGTGTTATTGTTGGTTGGACAAATGTTTTATTACTATAATTGAAACATTTTGTTAATGGAAGTATCCTTTTTGAAGATAACAAATAAAGGGAAGATTCTCTGTCCAGTTGCATATTTCTTTTTCGTCAACTTTTATATCATGTTATACCTTAAAACCGGTATATCTCTGCAGCCCGATCCTGCGATCAATATGAGATGATATCAGTTAATATCCTGTCTTTTCTTTAGCTGCTTGCCATGCTCTGCCTGGCACTAGGCCGCTAGAACTGTTTTAATGTTTAGGAGGGAGGTGTGCTTGGACAGAAATGGTACCTTGAAAATTTCACAATAAAGGTGGCATGTTTTAAAGAGGACAATATGTGTTGATGTTATTACTTTAAATTGATAATATTTGATTGTTGATTATTGAATTGGTACATCGATCCAGATCAATGTATTGATCTCCTAATGAGTAATATGAAAAATATATTATTGTATGTAAAGGCATGTATGTATCATCTGTGGTAACAGTAATTTTCTGTAAATTCAATTGAGGATCAGTTTTCAAATAAATGAATTAGGCCTAAACATTTCATCAAGTCAGCCTCCTCACTTAAAATCTACAGTAACTGGTGTTTTTGGCCACATAAAAGCAGTGGGTTGTGAACACAGCATGAACATGTTATTAACTTTTAATTTGATACAGCTAAATTATTTGCAGATAGTTCTTTATTTACACATTTGGCAGTTAGGGTGCAACATTATCATTTCTTTGGTTTCCTGTTTATGGTGATGAATATAAATCCAATATTCACTCTGTTTTAGCTCTGTTTTTGGTCTCTACCAACCCCTGAGGGAATTTTTTAGCTCTTTAGCTGCTAAATGCTCAACTATGTTCACCAGCTTGTTGCTAAAAGTATCTGTCTGCTTCTTGATTTTCTGCCTTCTCGGGCAAAAAACAAGGTTATGAGTGATAAGAGTGAACCAAAACGGTTAACTTCACTTTCAGAAAGCTAAACAGTGATCTGAAACTCAATATGAAGCTCAGTCGGAGGCTCTGCAGCCTCTTTTCTGTAGGTTTATCTTTAGAAGAGTCCTCATTCACATTGTTGTCATTTGATATAGTATTACAAAATATTTAATATAGCTCCTGTAAATTAGGGCTGCACGGTATATGCGGTAGACGGTAGAAATGATAAATTGATGAAATGATAAATTTGGCCCACGGTAGAGATTTGCACTCTACCGTCCTATCGTCGATGACGTCATCGCACCTGCCTCAGTGTGAAAATGGCTGCGAGCATAGAGACAGCGGAGCAAGAGGAGCTGGTTCATGTCCGTGATTTAGCATAGCACGTGCAACATGTGTTGCTGGAGAACTTGTGAGTGAGTGAGTTAATGTTTTATGAACAGCCCCGGACTTCTCAGACTCTTTTAGCGACTTACCGCTCAGAGGGAACACATTCAGTGTCTCCTCTGGCAGCAGCACAGCGTCTCTCCCTCTCCTCTCTCGCCGTGCGCACACGGGAGTTGGTTTTCGGCAAGAGAGTTTGTCATAAATCTTTGGTAATGTAAACCTATGTGATGCTAGGGGCTCCACAAAAAACGTGAATATGTGAATGTGTGATAGTTGTGGTATCATAGCAGCCTGTCACAGGTTACAGCGTGATGATTAGAGGAGAAATGGCAGAGCATAAAGGTCCAGGTGGAAAAAACACAACTCAGTCATTTAGGATTTAGCTAAAAGAAGGAAATTACCTTTTGATATAGATCCCAGGGGACATTTTGCACCATAGAGTACTGGGTTTTAATTTTGAGTTTTGAGATCTGCATTCTGCACAATAAATGCTCTAAAAAATACATTATATCTTTGCTTTTGTTTTTTTTTTTATCAATTTAGCTTTGCTAAAGGACTACAAAACCCATTCAGAAACACTTCTATTATAACTTTTACACTTAAATTTATACCGCGATATATACCGTTACCGTGAAGGGATTCGATTTATACCGTGATATAAATTTTAGGTCATTCCGCCCAGCCCTACTGTAAATTCAAGATTACCTCAAGCATTTCTACTCATTGATTGATTATTTAGTCAATAATTTAATACAGCCAACTATAGATAGAGTTATAATGAAATAATGACATCACTGGTGGTTGGTTAATTTCTATTGTCTCATGATATATTTTTCATATCACCCAATAGGCTACTAATCAAAAGTTTAATTAGTATTGCTATAGTCATTAGTATGAAGCCCTTAATGCATTCATACTGACAGCAAACATGGGTTTATATCATGTCACAGTGTTGGTGTGAAAGCGATATGAGTAGCTCCACAGCACACAGATGCATCTCCTGCCTTGGTGTGATTCGCTATCAGAGGCTCTGGGGCTTTCAGCTCAGACCTTTTCCATCTTGCCTTAATACAATTGCATCTCTTCACTGCCACCCACAACTCATTCCCTCTCAAATGCCCACCAGTCCTTCTCTGAGACTGCAGCAGAGGTGCAGGATGAAAACCATTTGAAAGGAGGCCTCTCCCAGCAGAGGTCCTGTTGGCATGGAAACGCCTGTCTTTGTGAATGGAGGCTTCTTTTACACGCCTGGTCAGAGGTTTCCCACTGTCTCATGGTCCAAGAGGACCCTGTCAGGCTGCTTACAAGCAATAGTTTACCTTTACAAGTTCACCAAAACCTGAGTTTATATTGGTTTTATGGTACTTTATGGTTACGTTCTTTGTTTTCTAAAGATTCTTAACTGTTGATTGTTTGTGTGATTGTGTTCCTGCAGGTTGTATGTTTTAGTTTCCCCATTTGAGGAACACTAGAGTGCTCTCATTCATCTGGGGCTCACACTAAATATATAGGGGGAACGTGGACCTGAAGTTTAAAGAAACCGGACATTCAAAAGATTGCTGAATCAAGCAGGGAGTCCTCTTTGTTTCTTTTGTATGTGTTCAACACAATCAGCCAAAACTCTCAGGATTTCTCTGAACTGGTTCCATGGCCTACAAATCAGTTTTCAGGCGGAAGAATATATGCTTGTTTGGTACAGACCCCAGCAAAAATCACAACATCTCTAAAATCGCAACTCACAGTGCAATCACAATATCTGTCAAAATAATTGATTTTTTGTTTTGCATATCGGCAGCCCTAGCATCTTGTTCATGGATTCTTCAGTTCCTACAATTAATGCTGTTTCTTTTTAGTCATACAGTTTGGTAGATATGTCTGCCGGTAACAACTTACTGGAGGAAGAAATAGAAATGTTGACCAAATTAGGATTACATTTGCTTTAAAAGTAGAGTAAAAAATAATTGGAAAAAGTATCTTAAAACATTTATTGCCATCTTATAAACAATTGCACTTTGCTTTTACAATCATAATAATCACTTATCTAATCATTATCACTTCCAAATATTGTAGTGTCCCTACCTGCCACTACAGAGTCAAATGTTGAATAGCTACAAATTAGTAATTAGCAGATATTTCATCAGTCCAATAGAGGTCAGGAAGAACAAACCCACTAATGAAAAGAAAAGAGTATATTGTTGGTTTTCTATGCAGTCAGCCACGTCATTTTTCTAAATTAGACCGTGACAAGATGCCTTGAAGGAAAACCACCAAGTGTGTATACTCTGTGGAGCAGGACAGAGAACCACTGACCTGATTATTCATTTCCAAATTCAGTTTAATCAACTAAAAAGCCAAGGTCACTGCAGCATCCCGTCCTTGTCTTTTCTCCGCCACACAGGTGTCTGCAGCTGGCACACTCCTCATCGTCTGCCCTTCATACTATTTCCAAATTGTGATTAAAAAGTGTGGTTGCGCTGTTTGGGGTAAATAATAATTTCTCCCATAAATGTGCACTGTATGGTAGAATTTTGGCCATCCAGCTTTAAAATTGCCAAAACCAACCTAACCATTTAAGGCAATTAAATCTAAAACATTGTATTTAGGCTGTTTGTGGATTCAGTACAATTTTATGACTTTTGCACTGTGCAGTTTGCCAACACAGAAGTCGTCTCAGTTTGAAGCTTTGTAGATCACAGTTCTCTGGCCCACATTCCCTTTTCTTCTGGATGAATTATTTACTGTTTATCAAAATTAAAGTAGGTTGGGTCACGCTTACTGTAGCTCTAAAATGCATCTGATTTGATCCCAAGTTGACAGCTTTAAGTAGGTGTGAATGCACCCAAAATGCTTGAATAGCATGCTCAATAAGAAGGCAGTTTTAATACCTGCATTTAAGTTTATTTTCAGTCTTAATTCCCATAACTGCATTTTATCCGGTTACTCTTTAGATCAAAGTTAAATAACAGGTTATTTGGGTGTCACAAAGAAGTAAAGGCACCATAGGAATGTGTTGCATTGTCATGGTAGGATATCCTCCCTCAAACTTGACCTGGGTGGCTTTCCGTTGGGGATGCAGGCAGCTGGCAGCTCAGTTAAAGTGCCTTTAAGTCTATTAGAGAGGATAATCCTTGAGGGAGAGTTGCAGTGAACAGAAGGAGCAGGCAAAACAGTCTGTCAATTCACTTTCCTCACTTTTACCATCTGATTGTACATCCCCTCCCGATGCAGCCTATCGCTCTCCAACACATGGCCACCATATGCTTTCCTCATTACTCCCTAAAACGAAAGACGGCCTCCCTAAACAAGACATAGAACACGGAGGAAAAGCAGTGACGTGACCTTAAAGTTTTATCTCTCGTCCCAACAAAGTTGCCATAAACGATCTCTGAGGTACATTTTTTTGACATTACAAGATGAAAATGAACAGGCATGTTTTGTTTATGTCTCTGCTGTTGCTGTGTCTTTTGTAACCCACAGTTGTTTTCTCACCTTTTATTGCTTTCTCTACATTCTCTCTAGCCTCCCACCTTCCACCCTCGGTGCCCCTGGCTCGGTCGGTGGCTCAGCATCACTTCAAAGGGGAAGGTCTGTGGTGCTGCAGATAACAACGCTGTACCCCCAAGCACAGGCAAGCTTTTCCAGAGCCCCTACACAGTCCCTCGACTGACAAGGTTCGGCCCCTTCTGTGTCTTGTAGGAAACTGTTTCAGTTACTCTTGTTTCTTTGCTGCTGTTTCTAGTGTTTTTTTTCCCTCTAGTAGCTTTTTGGCTGATGTTCTGTGAGCCTCGGGCTGAAATATACACTTGAATTGCATTGTTGCCTAACAGCATTTGTGTGTACACATGGAACTTGAAAAGATGAAAGGTTGAAGCAACTTGTTGGTATTTTGTTAGTAGGAGTATTATGGCCTTTAACAGGTGGAGTCTTTTATGTCTTTCCTGTGAAAATTACAATTATACAAACATGTTTGACTGACTAAACTCACTGATCTGATACAGATTATGAATTGACACCTTAATACCTCTACATCAGAGATCCTGTAGAAGCTAGGGCTGGCCCCGACTCATAATTATGTCAGTCAAATGCATTTTCACTATTCAATACGAATATTTGCAGGGTGTCTGCAGGTCCTTAAAAAAGTCTTTAAAATGCCTTAAATTCAACGTTACAACAATAAGGCTTTAAAAGTCATTAAATAGTTTTAAATTTGAATTGGTGAGGTCTTAACTACTACAAATATTTTATCTAATTTAATTTCTACATCTTTTAATTTCTTATTATGTATGTAAAGGTCCACTTTTCTAATGTTAGAAATCTTTAAAAAAACAAAAAAACAAAACTATAATACTGTTATTTTCTTCATACTTGCAGTTACCTGTTGGCAAAATATAGATCAACTTAATTCACTCTAATAACCATATTCTTACAACACCTACCTCTGCACAAGACCACATATATACTACCTACCTGCAATGCCTAAATATGTAACATATGATTTTGCCAAAAATCGGTCCTAAATTTGGTTAAAAGGTGTCTTGAAAGGGTCTGAAAAGGCAGCAACATTTTTTTTGCTGACACTGGATGTCAAACAAAAGCCAGAGACCATCTTGTATTAAGTTTCCGTGAGCTGTTAAGTCACCACTTACAAGCAGGAGGCAGAAGATAATGTTATCTTGGAGCTGACACGGCAAAGCCTCTCTTCCACCAGGCAGCTGCCTCCATCTCACTCAGACTCACCCTGGATCTGGGTCTGCAGCTGCCTGCACTGGAGAACAGCAGAGAGGAGCACTCACGCTACAGCTAAATCTGGGGACCAAAACATCCCTAAAGGTACACTGCATGCTTGATGAAAAACAAACAATAATAACAAACAAAACTATTGCGCGACTTGAAAAATCCCAGTCGACTGAGGGGGCTCCAACTTCTGGTCCGAATCTCCAACTTTCAGGCGGCAGCCCTAGAAGAAGCCCAACAGTGCTTTTCTAATGTATTGAAATATTCCCATTACATTAAAAAAATGCATTTTACTACTTGGTGTACTTCACAGCGATTAATTACATCTTGTTTCACCCTGTGCGTGCCTCTGTGAATGATCACATGGCAGTTATAAAGATCAAATATCCCTGTTTGCTTACACAGTAATTCAGTTTGATTCATGACCTTGTGGTTGGCAGATTGATTAAAGAGCAATTACTTTTCTCTCTTTGATTTTGTAAAATCATAATTTGACTCACATTTGGCCCAAGCTGTATAAACAAAATGTAATAATGAATGTCACGCTACTCAGATACACTTTAAACTTGCTTAAAAGTGACAGGAATTATATTTCAATCATTTTACTCACATCAGTGCTGTTATATAAATGGTAATGTTCCTTTCTGGCCAGTTTTGATCTGTGGATTTGAGCATCCCATAAATGTTATGGAGAATAGATGGCCGCTCGATAGAGTACCAAAGTATTTCGGTAATGTTCAAAGTCATGGCATCTGTTGGCTTATCAGTGTTTCCATGGCAGCAGCACGTTGCTGCTCAGGTTCCTCATGATTTCCTCTGGGATGAAACACCTCTTAATCTGCTCTCTAAGAACATTTTTGTCCGCCTGTGGATTTCTGTGTCACTGACTGTCTCTAGTGAAAAAAGACCATTATACAAGCACGTCTTCCTTGTAATTTAGAGCCAGATAAATCTCGCCAAATGTACCATCAATATTTAATATAAATGACTGATGTCCTGCAGAGAAAATACAAATTGTGAAAGAAAGCACCTAAAGATGAGTGAGGCCTCTGATAATAAGCTTCACTAGACTGTTGGACTGCTTGTTAGCATAACAGGAAAAAGAAAAGATTGTATCACATCCTGAATAAAAGATCACTCACCTGTTAAGACATTGAAGTTAGGTACATCTTCATTAGGTTTATTCTGTGGCATTATGCTGGTGTAGGTCCCTCTCAGTATCATGCAAGTTATTTATTCATCCGTTAAAATGTAGGATATAAAAAATATGAACAATACATTTTTTAGACCTGCTATTTAATGATTAGATGTGATTTTTATACCCTCATTTCTAGACCTTATGACTCATTATTTGTAGGCATTGCAAACCAGTTTACAGTTAAATGTTTACAATCAAAAAATTACCTTCCACTGTTGTAACGTTGAAAGTAATTATAGTAATTATAGCTTGTGCTGTGAAATCTACCACATTACATTTATCAATTCACATAAAGAAAGCAGACTTTTCAGACTTTCAATAAACATTAAAAGGCCTATAACTCAGCCTCTTTGATGGTCATTATTTTCAGTGCAGGTGTATGCGGGGGCATTTCTAGACATTGGGGGCTTAACCTGGACCTGTGTAAGGGGGTCTGTGGGATCCTCCTCTGTTACTTGATTTTGTAAACAAGATCTATTTTGATGCTTTAATGCACCCTGGTACTTTATTTACATTTAAAGTACAAAAAAATCCCAGCGTGAATCAGTTTGTTGTCATTGTGAATTTGAAAATGGTTTGCAAACCACTTGGCACTCTTTTGGGCTGAAAGGCGAGTATCCCTACTCTGCCAGTTCTACCAGACTACTCGTTGCTTTTCTTTCTTATTTGTTGGAAAACCTTGGCTACATGAAGTCTGCAGACTGAACGTTGATATGGTGCAAATTAGGCATGAGGCTAAATATCAAATCAAATTTTGTGATACTAAAAGTGGCCTACTGTTTCCTATCAATTGACCTGGTTTGGCCTGTTGAGGAAGTGTTTTTGTGAGTGTATGTGTGTGTCTGTGTGTCCGTCTGTCTGTCTCGGTGGCATGAGGAAAAGCTTGCTTGCATTCACTGTACCAGAGTTTTCCACAAGCGCCAGCTGTTGGCTGATTAGCCAGACATGAAAGTATTTCCAGACGACTACTGTCTTGTAATATTAGGTCATGTCACTGTCACTTGTTAGATCTTGGTCGTTGTTAACTGTATCTTGTAAGCAGATGAAGGATTTTAGTCATTGGATGTGTGGAGCTTACAGAGACGTGAGTTAACTTTAGCAGCAGTGGCTTCCATTTAAAAATCCTTACAAACTTGTTTTTGCTGCCATCTTCGGAGCCGCTCTCCGCTAATAGTCAGTTCATTGTCTGCTCGGTTAGCACAAGTTAACATAGCAGTGGCTAACATCCAACACTGAGCCGTTAAAAGATCTGTACAAACTTACACCGGCACCAGAATGGCCTGACACTGTTATTAGATGTGTTAATAACCATTAGGCAATGTTAGCTGTGTGATGCTGACAGTTAGTCATGTCACTGTGTGTGTAGCTGGACGGACTCTCGCAACTGTACCCGACGCAGAGCTCACACTCCTGCAGCAGCAGCAGCTACAACCCATACAGTCCACGGTTTGGTGCAGTGGAATGTTGTGTGTTTGACAGAATTGGCAGTTGAGTGTGCCGAGATGCCACCAAAATGTTTGCCACCTTATTTGCTTTAGGTATTGAAAGAAGTACTCCATTAGTATCAGTATCCTTTTAATGGAACCGGTATTGGTATTGTAACTTTTTTAACGATACCCAACCCTAGCAGCAGCTCAGCTCCCCCCATGTCAAAACCTTGTGAATGATAAACACTGAAGGAGTCCTAACCTTAAAATAAAATGGCAATTAGTTGTTTAACAATGAAGTCAGCAAATTCACAACGTCATCAAACTCTGTCTTTGGTCATTATTTTGACCCTGGGTGCTGACCACCCGCCCAGCTGGCTACTCCTTCACCCAGCTGGACATTGTGTGCACTTGTGGAAAACACTGCTGTATATTGGCGGTGTGAAGTTCATTCAGTTCAGTCTGAGATGCTAATCAAACCAAGTGTTCATTCAAAGTTCAACATTAATGAAAAGACTGAAAAGACGTCAGTATGATTAATGATGTCATTGTCATCATCGCCGCTATATTCATTATTGTCACTGTTATTAATAAAACTCAAACTATCACAAATGATAAAGACCACAGTCCAGCAGAGGTTTTTATTCATCACTAGAAATTGTTGTGAGTCTTTGCAGAGCCAGTAAAGTGGTTCAGAATCTCAACTCAAACCTGTAATGGAAACTTTAAAGGATGAAAACAATGTCTGCAAAAGCTTAAAATGATTATTCTTCGCAGCAGTGACATTAATCAACTCTGAATCGACAGCTCGACCCCAACATGTATGATCTTACCCTTTCATTAATTCTGCCTTCTCTCATTAGTGTCTGTTTTGCTTTGTAACGCCTGCTCTGCATGACTGAAATGTGAGCTAGTTTTCTTCAGGGAATTCTTTTTTTTTTTTGTTGGGACTCACAGCTGCAAATTGTGTCATGATTGTGATGGTCAGATCTCAGTTGCTTGGTGAAGAAAGCTCCTGGAATCGGAGGAAGAAGCTGTTGAGAAGGTGGGGTCGGGGAGGAAATGAGGCTACATTCCAGCTGTGATTTATGAAGTGTCTTTCATTCTCTCTGTACTGCTGGCTAGTTTGCAGCTGCTCCAGACAGTTCCTGACTTTAGCTGGACCCACCTCAGCATACATATCGAGAGAAAGTCATTAGTTGCCACATGAGCCAAGTTAATACTGTGCAGTTTAAGCTGAGTTATAGTTGCTAATTTTAAGATTCACCTGTGGCTCTTGAGCCTTTTTTACCCTGAGTTTTGAAACCCCTTC